AGACTAGTATTTATTATATATATATATATATATATATATATATATATTTACATATATAAAGCTTAATGAAACTATTTTATCAAATTATTAAATACAACTCCAAAACGCGAAACGCTACCGTCTGACGTTACATAACGCGTCACGTTTGTTTTACGTAAAACCAATCGTCGCTCAATCTGTGATAGCCTAAAATAAACAACTATGCCGGAGAGATTCGTCCGTTGAAATTGCCTAAATAACCATCGATTTGGCCGTTATCATTGGAAAATTATTAATTAGCATTAATAATCGAACGCTCGCGACGCAATCCGCGGGGCATAAGTGCAGGTGAAGCGCAGCTTCATATTCATGCGATTTAAATGGGTGGGATTAAAGTGGCAGCGGCGATACGTTTGTTTGTCGTCCCCATGCTGCTCCGGGTTACGCTCCGGGGATCAAGACTCGTGTACGACACGTAACGTTTAGCACGCGTGAACTCTCGCGAGCATCCTCCGCACGTTTAATGTCGATTCTAAGCGACACCGACGTTAGCGAGGCGCGCGCGTGGGCCGTGGCCAGCCTCGGAGAAGAGCGCATCATCTTCCACACACGCGCCTACGCGCGCACATCTCGAAGCCGCACGCACACGACGTGCATTGTAAAAGTCGGGTAAAAGTCACGGGATGCCCTCCCCGTCCTTGCGAGAGAAGGGTCCTCGCTTCTGAACTGAACTTAACGAGCGGAGGATGCGCGTAATCGCGGAATGGCGTAAAGGAGGCTATTAATAAATTATGAAGTCATTAACGGCGGTGCGAATCGTTAGTCTTTTTGTTTTTTTTTTTTTCTTCTTCTTCCTCTCCCTATTCTTTTTCTCCTCCCTTTCTCCTCCCTTCCTCTTCCCTCTTTCCGCGGAATTTCGCGTGCGCACCCGCTGCAAAGAGAAAGAGGCAGAAATGATATTTCATCCTCCGGATTGCGACATGCAAACCGGAATCAAAAAATTATAATGCAGACGTCTCCCTCTCCTGTTGCGCGGTCGAGCCGTAAAACGAGTGCCTCGAACGAGTGTCCGAGCGAGCGGGACACTTCGCTTTTCAAGCATTTTGCTCGCTCGCTACAAGGTCGGGCGCGATAACTTTTCTATTATTGGCAGGAAACGGATCAAGTAATGCGCGTAATTTATTATAACTTCCTTCGTTTAATAAACGAAGGTAACGCTTCCGGCCGTTTTTGCCGCTGGCGGCTTTGCCGACTTTCTTGAGGGCGGGGAAGGATGCTGCCGTAAAAAGAGAGAATTCTCGTACCGCGATCGGCACTAATCTTGTAATTCGATATTGATCGTTGAAGCACGCAGAGCCAGCAGTCGTATCTCCACATTATACGTCGGTAAAAACTCCTAATTACGTTTAATAATAGCTCGACGATGGACTTGTTAAGCTTACTTTGTACAGACTATCTATAATTTATCTTAGATTTCAGGACAAAGTTCTGTTTAATTGATTCCGATATACGCGTGTTTTTATTACCTTTCGTTTTTTTTTTTTTTTCCTAAAAAAACGTTGTCTTTCCTCATTATTTACAATTGCAAACAGAATCTGAATTCTTTCTTTCGTTTAAAATGACGGATTTTCGAGATGAGATAATTAACGTGCATTTCTTCCTCTCAAAAGGTCTGAAAAGAGTGCGGGAGTAATTGCGAAAATATCTTGAAATTTATCGGAATAAAATGGCGGCGGATGATTTCCTTTCTCTTCACCAGAGAGACTTTCTACGAGATTGCTAACTCGTTTGATGAGAAGGGCAAATAAATATAATCGCTCTATCTTGTCCAATGATATTTATCGTCCGTCTCTCTTATCGTTATCTCCGGATAGAGATTCGAGAGACAGCGCGAGGCAGCGAGAAGCGAATCGCGAATATACTCTCGCGCCGAAAGGATGATTGTGTATCTCTCTCATGCGGACTTGCACGCATAAGGAGCATGATGCATTTAAGCATCGCTCGTCGATGCGTAAGAGCGCAAAGTAGTAGCGGAATACCGCGAACGGCCGCGTAGTGGCCGCGACTCTCTCAACCTGTCGGCCGGAGCGCATTCGCGTTTATGCGCCGATGCGACGATCGATATTGAGAACTCGTCTTAATGACGGGCACACACTCGTAACGCAGGATCGCTCGTCCTTGCAACCTGTCAGGATCCTTGCCCCTTACACGTCGCCGCGCGTGTTGCGTCAGTCGGTCGACCGCTCGACCGTCCGTGTGCCTCTTTCTCGGTATTGCCGCCGGTATGCGCGCGCGCGCGCGTGTGTATGCGTGTGTATGCGTGTGAATAATTGTATGCGTGCGCGCATGGATATTCGTATGCGTACCATTTATCGCGCGACGCGACGGACGCGAGCGAAAGACACGAATGAGAAACGTCGCCGAAGCCTCGCCGAGGACCCGCGGCTGATAAATCGCGATAACTCACGCGGATCACAATGACTCGTTGAAAATCGGCGAATCCCCCTTGTCGCGTCGTAGGACTCTAAACACACATATGGATGACCGTTGGACTCGATATATTATGTACGTCTGCTTGATTATATATTATAATAGTAAACGAGATACGTTGATACGTGACGGACAATGACGCACTATGACGCACTATGTCGTGCCGTGTTTTAGATTCGGAAGATAGACGCAAAAAGAAAAAAAACTCACCGGCGGTCTCTCTCGCGCGCTTGATCTGTAATCAATGTTGAATTAAGTAGCGCTTCGGAAATGCTGACGATTGCTTACGGTTACCGTGTCACTTTCCAGCGTCGCGGATCGCGCTCGCGCGGTTATAATCGAACTAGGTCGCAGGATAGAAATAATAATCGAGAGTAATTAAAATTGTACCTGGTGCGTTTACGAGATATCTCGTTGGCGTCCAGCGTTACGCTGGGCTCCGTCCTCGACGACAACCCGGTCAACGGTCAAGGCGACATCCCGATCTTAGTCTCGAATCTGTGTGAATGATTGCAGGCGATGAGCAGTATCGGGGCGCCGGCGGCTCGAGCAGCGGAAGTCCGCCAGCCAGTCTTCTGGTTGTTCCTCAGCCACTCACCGTAAAACCCTCCCATCCGTCGCATCTGAATTCACATCTTGGTGGGCCTCACTCCCATCCACCGAGGAAGTACCAATGCAAGATGTGTCCGCAGGTAAGTTTGACTTGACCAATATCTCTGTCGACGTGACGCCGCCCCCCCCTCTCCCCATGCGTACCTTTTTTTACGCATATTTTGGAATTTTTTTCTCCAAGTACAGTACAATATCGATTTGTCTCATCTGTACGAAATACTATATAATTTAACGCCATTGTTAATCTCCCTGTTTCCTTTCAACGTGGCGTTTTGACGTAATAGCTCACATTCTTTATCTTCTTTTTTGTTGATAAAAGTGCTTCTGAACGTGGCTCGCAGCCACTCGAAAGGCTTATAAGCAGCTTCTTAGAGACATTTTTATTGATCAAAAAGAATTCGGAATATAAAGAAACAATAGATAATATTATATGTCTATGATATGATGGATGATAAATGTATATATTGTGAACGTTTTTCGTGAATTGTGTAGAATTTCTTTCTAAAAGCTTGTTAAAATTCTTTTATAAAGGATAAGAGGCAACATTTTATCAAGTCTTCTCCCTCTCATCCCTTTTCTAGAGAATGATTTTACTTTTTTTAACCCTATCCCTCTTTCTTCTTTTAAAAGGTTTCTTAGTAAATAATATATTCATTGAATAATCCTAATGAACCACATCTTTTCTCAGCATTTCCATGCTATTTTTTGAAAGTTCATGGTCCATTGGTAGTCTATTCTTGTCAATGCAGACCTGCACCATTTAATGACATTTTAATAACCGGGAAGATTTGTGTCTTTATTAAAATTGCTTCTAGAAAACGTTTCAATACATATGTTGAAACGATGATACCGTTATAGGGTACGGATTTCCGGAATTCTTTCCGCAATTAAGAATGAAATATTTATGTTAGGAAACGTGCTGGTTAAAAGTTTTGTCCTGTTATATAGTTGTTACCTGTTATATAGTTGTTACCTGTTATATAGTTGTTAAACAGTCAACATATTCAAATGTAAATTTAACACAAGTCTATTAATATTAACTGAATTGTTTTTTGTGATTTTATATTTAACACAGATTTTAAATGTAAAGCTTTTAAAACAAAAAGAAACGTCCAATTAATATAATTTGCTGATTTTATATGATAAATATGTCTCGTGATATTTATAATATTTATGTGCTAGAATTTATAGAAAAAAGTGTCGATTTTATCGTTATGGTGCGATGAAAATGATTACAAAGTATCACTTTGCTATTCTAGATGTGATCTCGATTAGATTTTGAGATATTTCATATACGTTATTAAATTATTCGAATTTTTAGAATATTTTAAGAAAAAAAATTTAATATGAAAATTTCGAAACTTTTTAAAACTTGATAAAAAATATTTAAGAGGTGAGGAATTATAAACGCTTTGCTATCATAGACTTTTTGCACAGGAAGATTTTACATAGTAAAATATACAATAATAAAAATGCAATCAAATTTCTTATTCAGGTTTACGTGATAAATATAATGAAATGATTGTTAAAGAAACCGCATCCAAATTACATCTTTACCACCAGTATATTTTACTATATTTGAAAAGACAGCTATATTAGCAAGTTTTAATTGTTTTGTATATAAATGTTATATTATATTATATCAACATTTATATATTTATAAATATTCTTTAAAATAACTTTAAAATAAAATTTCTCATCAAAGTTTTTATCAATGATTCTAGAATATTCAATGTAATTGTGAACAAATTTATATCAACAATTTTGAAATATAAATATAACATATTTATATATTCATTATTGAATAATAATAAAATGTTACATATTGACATAATTCTTTTATTAAAATACAAAATATTTCATAAAAATAGTTCAACTTTTATATTATACATTATTCTACATATTATTATAATTAAAAGTTACAGTAATTATAAAACATAAAAATGTACACACACACACACACACACACACACACACACACACACACACACACACTACACTTTTCTAGAGTTAATTTGTCATAAAAGATACATATTTTACACAATTAATTTCAAATTACGTTTAAAAGATTTAATATTTAGAATATTAATATTGTTAATGTCATTATTCATACATGTTAAATTACAAATACAATAAGCCTATTATTTTTAATTAAACTTCTTGCACAAGTTCATGTTTTTTTTCTTTTTTTTTTTTTTCAACGTGAGGAGATAAGGAGAGCAAAGAATTCAGCTAAAAAGGATATGCCTAATTTGAATGAATCGTTTAGAAACACAATATATATAATAATTTGAATATATTGAGAAGCGAAATCTGTTAAATTTATAATCTGTTAAACTTATACAAGTTTTTTTACTGTCTTTATTTTCTTATAAAAAAAGAAGAAGATTTATTATTTTTTTGTGAATTTTATTTACTTAGGTAAACAAATCTTTGTTCGCATATTTCGTTAAAAGGTTAAATTTTCCTTTTCCTCCTTACATTCCTCCATTTCATTTCTATGATTTATTTTTATGTTCTTGTGTTTTTGAATTTTTTCAAACATCTCGCGATTTTTTGTACACTCAGAATTTAACATTAGTCTCATGATATAATTTTCACAACAACATAAAAATTTTATACATTATTTAAAAAATTATATCGTCATTTTTAAAGAAATATGCGAGCAGTTGTGGTAACGTCACTTTTAGAATTTTACTTCTTTTTAATTAAAAAAATATTAATAGTTTTTTGAGTTAATAAAATCAACAAAATTGTCATTAGAAGGCAGTATTCTGTAATATACAATAAAAAATATTGATACAATATATCTATAGTGCAATGTTTTACAGTATCTTGTCATTTATTAACATTTATTTTGTGTAGTCTGATAGCGAAACAATTTGAAGAAAATAAAAAATAATTAATGTATAATTCAAACACGGTTGCATATTGAGTTATCAATGAAAGGATATTCTTAGAATATTATAACATCTTATAAATACGAGCAATATTGATGACAAAGTCCATACGAATGGACATAATGCGGTTCTTTCTTGCAAGATTGAAAATGTAAGAATATTTTGGAGACGAAATGTATCGAAGAATTCACTGAAATAGTTAGAGATTGTAATAAATTGATATCGTTTTCAGACTCTGTAGATTTTCCTAGCTTCCATATTTGCTCAGGATTTCTTCAATACAAAGCTGTTTCTATTTTACAGCGTACGGGACATTATTTTATTATTAATATCCGTTCGAAAGACGGTTCAAGGAAGATTTGGAAATCTCTCTTCTTCTCAAAGATGCAATATTTTTTTGACTTTGACGTTTCGGTTGCGTACCGTAACGGTTTACGACCGGGAAACCTGACCTACGGAAAATTTCTTGCCACCAAGTCGTGAAATTTCCTATGTTCGTTCGTCCGTCCGTCCGTCCGTCTGTCTGTCCGCACGTCGGCGATTTATGTCCCCGATGATGGATTTCAGTTTCGCAAATTCGTTAACGCGCGCTTTACGAGCCGTTTAAAGACAATCGTTAAAGTTTACAACTTTCCGCGCTTTCCGCGATAATTATCGGCGAACGGCGGCGCGTCGCGGAGAAAAAAGACGGGGCGCGGGACGAAGGAGAGAAGGAGAGAGAGAGAAGAAACGACAGGCAGAAAGACAGAGAGTGAGAGTTGGAAGGCTCGAAGGACGCGGCGCGTGACATTCCATAAGGCGAATCGTTAAAACTTGACGATATTATAGATAGACGGAACGTCTATATAGAATAGGGATAGCAGATTATCATACACCGGAGGCCACGGCGAAACGCATCGGCGCTTCTCTCTGTCCCGTTTTGCGGGGAAGGAAAGAGGGAAAAAAACGGGGGGAGGGGCAAAACACGAAACCCGGCGATTAAAACCAGTTATGGCATGTGTATCTGCCTGTATTAGATACAATGTGACACGGAGGGGGTTAATTTGTCGCGGATCGAGAGACGTCGCGCGTCGAGAAAATCCCGCAATCTCCGCCTGTCCGTTACCTGAAATATCTCAATCATCAGGATTCATTTTTTTTTTAGGTCAGTTTCGTGTATCCGTGTGTTTATATGTGCTTGATTTATTCCGTTAGGCGTTCCCAGAAGGAGCGGAAGGAACGGCAGAAGGATAATCGTTAAGACCGATTGCGGACCGATCGTAGCACGACATGCCGCTCATTAGCGCGAAATTAGTAACAAACCTAAACCTTACGCAAAAATTACAACCGCTTCGTTAAAAGTCATTTCCATCGTCGTCTTAATAATTAATCGGGACTGACTTTTAATTGCCTGACTGTCTTATCGCGCTACGACTACGAACGGCTAATAAAATGATAACTCGCGTGTCATGCTCTTCTTCACTTTAGGTCGTGTTCTGCTCAATATTAAAACGCGGGTGATTATAACGCGATATTGTAATTACGACATTGTCTTTTATTACCGTGAGGAAAATGATCTGTTAGTCATGCCGCCATGTACAGTTAAATTTATATACAACAAAAATACTGCGAACGGTAATTAAACGAAAATAATATTTGCAGAAAATTGTGTTTTATAGCCTACATAGTTGCAAAGCTGTACAGATATATTTTATTTCCTTTCGCAATCCCTTACATTATTGGAAAATACGTGCAATTTAATTAACGATCTTACGAGAAATCTGTGAAAATATTACTAACAATGTTTATATTTATGTTCAAGTCAACGCGATTAAAAAATATTGTTTGTTATATTCGTCTTTCCGACAAATGCAATATTTATTATATATTTTGCAAACGTTACCATTAATATATATTTGTAAGGAGCGTTATTTCAATAGATATCTCGTCAGTCTCGAATTAAATTTACTACTTAATGTAATCCTAGGCGCACAGATAGATTTTTTTTTTCTTCGATTATTGATCTTAATCTGCGTGATTTTGCAAGAAATGATTCTTATTTCTGACTTTGCAAAAAGCATCTGCTCGGATCTAAAGATTGTTACATTTTATTTCCACTTTCCCCTATGCAATAATAAGTACTCGCTGACGGTCCCGGCTGCGTCGCATTCCGCAGACAGAGATTAAACCGAATCAAATTA